AATGTGTAAAAAATGGAAAATTTGAAATTTTCCTTCCCATCACGTTTTTATTTATTTTGGAAGCTGACATGACAAACAAAATGTAAAAACGGTTTGTTCAAGTTCAGGAATGAGGATCAAATTCCGCAATGTCATGTTCCAGTGCTCCCGCAATTATTTATTTAAGGAATAAAATTGATTGAATTAAAAGTGTTAATTAGAGAAAGTTAAAAAAAGAATTATTAAACAAATCCTCATTTTTTATATGAGAAAATAATATCGGCGGGTAAAAAATATCAATAATTCAGGAAGTTGAATTTTTAGAATGATTTCAGTTCTTTTTATTCATAATAGTTATTTTACATTCAATTCAATCACTCGGCAGAATTCCAAGCTTTTATATGAAGGTTCTAGTTCCAAAGAAGAATGAAAAATAGAATCGTTTTCCACCCCGCAAAGAAGAAAACGTATATTTTAGATCTTTCCGAGGCTTGACCCTTCGGAGATTACTTTTCGTATGCTTCGCATGCATGTTTGTCTCGAACCTAGAATGACAGCCGTCTATGGGGGGTGAAGGGCGCTTTGACCCGCCCTCAAGTGTTGGTTAGCGCGATTGATGCGGAATTCGTCAGTGCTTTCTCCGAATGACGGCAAGCCCTCACTCGGGTCAAGCCTCGGCAAGACCTAAAATATACGTTTATGCCATCGGTGGCCGTAATCGCGGATTCCGGGCGCGATGACATAAAATTTTGTATGAAACGCGTGCGTAATATATTTTTCGACTCGTGGGATTGTAAAACTCGCCTTTGGCTCGTGTTACAAACCCCCCACGAGTCAAAAAATATATTACGCACGTGTTGCATAATATACTATTCCTGCCCTACGGGGTGGAAAACGATTCTATTGGAAGTCTGTGCCTTCGGCTTGACCCTTCGGAAAGATGTTTGGAGTCTGCCGGCACTTGAAAGTGTACTGTGAGAACTTGTTTAAATTACTGTTAGAACTTTATTATTATAACTCTTCAAAATATTCAACATACAGAAAAATACATCCGAAACCGTGCTATACGGGGATGAAACTTTTTACGAAAACACTTTTTGGTTTGGGAACTTTGTGATTAGTAATCTCCTTGCAGTAGTACTTGTAGCAATTATTATATATTATAATAATTATATTTATAATTATACTTATAATTATACTTATAATTATACTTATAATTATTATATATATTAGCTCCTTTCCAATTTCCCCTCTTCAGAATCTCATCCAGGCACATGTCATTTTGGTAATTATTTGATGCCACTGCTGACCTGACTGATCCTGGACTAGGATCAATTCTGGTTTCTGTAAAGGCAGTTCGGATCGATCCTGCAATTGTCGCCCTTGAAGCATTTTTCACCCTACCCCTTGTGGTGATGAATAGTCCATTCTAACCCTGACGAGCCTCTCATCTGCTGGCCGACAAGGCTATTACTAGTTTAATACCTGCCACTAGGATAAATGTTGAGTTTTCTGAGCTGGAGATCTGCCAACCTGATTGTCGATAGTTTCCTCTGTCCGTTTTTAATCCGAACTCAGGCCAGAAAATTATTTTGTCCTCTCCCATAAGTCAATTGTCCGGATTAATTGAGAGTAAGGTAACGTCGTGAATACGCCTTCCCGATGCTAACAGCAACTGGAGGGCCACGAATCGTGACACATGGAAAAAACTTTCCTTATCTGGTGGATGGTTTGCCATCCAGTTTGTCAATGTCTCCACACTCCAAATAGTGGAATCGGCGGGTTTCCTCTCGTTTGCCCGTTGAACTCCAATAGCCTTCAATAACGACTTCACTAATGGATTTGAGCTCAAACCCTTGTCTCCCCGAGGATTGTTTAACGTACAAATCACTGACTTTTGAATCAAAATAGAGTTGTAGGCTAATTTTTTGTAAAACAGGAAACTCAAATATGAAACTGAGTTTTGGGCGCTGGGGTTATCTGATGAGATACCCGGCGTTCGGCATCAATTCAACCATTGTTTCCAAATGGCTGAATAGGTCTTCCAGGAGGAGTCCCTCCAAGGTGATGCCAGCAGCTTAATTTCAGCTTCTGCTAAACCGTTTACATGGGTACCCTACCCCGTACCGTCCAGACCTTTAAAACCAGTTCTTTGGCGTGAGGGGGGGGGGGGGGGGGAGCCTGCCGACAGATCTGTCAGGTTCTCCTCGAAGTTGAAGAGCTGAAATGGTACTGCTAGACTCCGGTTTTTTAAGTCACCCCTCCAGAAGGTTTTCTCCCATCTGGGAGCGACCACTAGGAATGTCCCCCTCGCTGAGTTCAGGTGGTGTAGGATCTTTGGGACCAGTGGAGGTGGATGGAATACCCAAGTGAATGTCACGGTCCAGACTCTGCTGAAGGCGTTGATGAATTCTGCTCCCTGATCTCTTGCATCCATTGGCACGTATCTTGGTACAATCTTGGATTGATGCGTCGTGAACAGGTCAATCTCCGGGGTGCCCCACTTCCGGAAAATCATCCTCGTCATTTCGTTGCTTAGATGCCAATCTGGTAGGGGGGGATTTCTCGAGAGCCTGTCCGCTAAGGTGTTGTAGATGCCTGGGAGAAAGAACGGAACCAGATGGATTTCGTATCGGTTCAGTAATACCCAGAGATCCTTGACTACTCGTAATAGGGTTTGAGATCGAGGCCCTTCTTGGTTCTTGATGTAAGCCACTGTCGTTCTGTTGTCTGACTGAACCATCACCAATCTGCCTCGGAGGTGGTCCTCGAATCTCTGAATCGCCAAGCTGACCGTGAAGAGTTCCTTTCTGTTGATGTGCCAGAGCTCCTGTTCCATCGACCACGTTCCTGCTTGTTGTATATCCTCTAGTTGGAAACCCCACCGCGTCTGAGACGCGCCCGTTGTCAGAAAGGTGTCCAGGTCCGGCGTGAAAATCGGCCTTGTCTGGTGGATGTTCTCCTTCCACCACATGCAGTCGAAGCGATTTGTATCGGATTGGGGAAATGATTTTCTTGGAACCCTCCCCGACAACTGGCGACTTCCTCGCTGTAATTGACGTGAGAATAGTCGCTCCAGAGGTGTGACTATTGCCGCGAAATTTAACCTACCCAACAAGGAGCTGCTCTGTTTCCAGCTCCAGCGTCCCAAACTTAAAATCTTCGTGATACTTCTCAATATTCGCTCCTTTTTGGCAGAGGAAAGGACCATCTTGTTCCGGAGGGTGTCCCAAATGATTCCCAGACACTCGAGCTTGTGTGCTGGGTTGATTATAGATTTTTCCTCGTTTATTGCCCAGCCTAGTGACCGAAGAAGTCCCATTACTATTTGAATCTGATTCTGAAGCTGGTGGGCATTCTGGTGAGCTAGTACGAAATCGTCCAGATATACCACCACTCGTATCCCCTTTTGGCGAAGGACTTCTGCTATCCAATTGGTAATTCTGGAGAAGGCTAATGGTCCCGTCGATAATCCGAATGGGAACCAGGTAATGTTGAACAACTGGCCTGGTCCGACAGACAAAGAAACCTGCTGACTCGATTTTATTGGGATATGTAGATAAGCCTGAGAGAGATCTATTTTTGCTAGGAAATCGTCTTTTTGTACAAAATATGGAATCTTCCGTTGATTTATGAGACGGAACTTGGAAGGTTGAAGATATTCGTTGAGGCAGCGCAAATTGTAAAGTTGTCTGAGTTTCCATCTGTTTTTGGAATTAAGAACATTGGTGAGATGAAACCTGTCTCCCAAAATAGTATATTATGCAACACGTGCGTAATATATTTTTTTACTCGTGGGAGGTTTGTAACACGAGCCGAAGGCGAGTTTTACAATCCCACGAGTCGAAAAATATATTACGCACGCGTTTCATACAAAATTTTATGTCATTGCGCCCGGAATCCGCGATTTAACCGAGCGAAGCGAGGTTAGAATCGCGTGATTACGGGCACCGATGGCATAAATGCTTTTTCCAGTACCCCTTGGCGCAGCATGTGCCGAATCTCCATTGTCATTTCTGGTGTTATCTTCGTGGCGTGTTATCTCAAGATCTCTCCTGTAAGTGGAATCGTTGGGGGTTTTCGGATAAATGGAATGGAATAACCTTTTAAAATATTTAAAATGTGCTTCGGGGCCCCTAAATCAGTCCATTATCGAATGGATCGGCTTAGCTGGCCTCCTGAACCAATAGTCAGGCTTTTCGATGTAGACGCTCCTCCCTTCCCGGGTAACCTTTTCTGGGAGTCTTTCCTGATGATTTATTTCCCTATTTGCTAGAGGTAGAACTAGCTGAGGTTTTGCCTCTTGAAGATTGAGGTTGAGAGAAGACTCTGGAGTCGCTCTGCCGCTTAGGGCGAAAGCTCCCAAATTGACTGGGTTGCGAAAATCTTTTCTGATCCTGAAAAAAAATCTTTAGAACTCCCCTATGTTGGTTTAGGAATTTAGAGAGCAAGTTTTCATCGAACAGATGGGACTCAGAAGGAAGAATCTTCGTCAACTTGGCTGTATGATGAGATTCCCTAGCCTTGAAGGCGTTTTTCCTCCACTCAATAATCTCTGCTCTTTTTGGACAAGTGAAATGTAGGATTTTATCTGAAATTGTTGCGACTGGTGACTCCCCAAAGAAGGCTTTCCTGACGTCCTCTCTGATTTGGGGATATTTCTCCACTAAGGACTTGGCTGCTACTGATGATCTTTCTCTCTGGATCAAAAGTCCATGAATAGTGGTACCCACCAAAGAGCCTGACTTTGCCAGGACTGTCTGACCAAAAGACCATGTGTTTTCTATGGCGTGGTTTTAACAAAATTTTTCCAGACGCAGGACCTGGGAAACGCCATTTGAATAGTTTTTTCGGTCACACCCTCGAAAAATTTAGTTAAGGTCACGTCGTGGAAAACATCACTCTCCTTCAAGTGCAAGACATCCGAGCCGAATGCAAGTAAATTACAAAATGAACTCGTCACGAATGAGATTAAGTGTGGCAAACTTCAGAGTTTACAAGTAAATTGTTCAGATCCTTATACATTTTCGGGTTTTATTCTCAATTTTTAAGTAAATAATAATGGCAGATAACAAAGTTTGTGATGCGCGTTGTCAGGCGTTTAGAAAAGAAACTATTGATACAGAAGATAAACTTCGAATGAAGTGGTTTACCAAAAATCGGTTGCGTTTACTGGCAGATTTGGAGCAAGAGGATAAGCATGTCAAAGATAAATTGAAGAAACTGAAGGAAGAAAGTGCATTACCGGTTTCTGAACCAGAACCAACGGTATGAAACGATACAGCATAAGAATATCATTTTTTATTCATGGAAACTTTTGTATAAATGGATTTCATTTCAGACAATCCAAGAAGAAACGGAAATTCCGGTATCAGTCGCAAGTCGTGAAAAGATTGGTTTGGATCTCATGCGGTCCATTCATTCGTCTCTGCTAGATGTTTTATATGATAAGAAAGAGTCAAGTCATGAAGCTAGAAAAAAATACCTGGAAGAGCGGTGAATAGTTATGATTATCTACTGAACAGACGGGCTAAACTTATACTCTCTTGTTAGTCAGTTCATGATGCAAAGTCAAAATAACAAAAAAATAAAAACTATTGTTTGATACACGGCTGTGAAAAACTTGGCCATCTCATTTGATTTCATATCTAACCTGATATATGTAAGAAAAGTTCGTGACGGTCTAGTGGCGAAATGCAATTGAATATTCTTCCATGTATCTTAAACTGTAAGACAAAGATGTATATACATACATATACATGTATATATATATATATCGAGTGAAAAGGTACCAGAAAATAGGAATAATTATTTTCTAGTTTTAGGTAATTTTTTTCGGACGGTTAGATAACTCTTACCGAGCAGTCGATAAATGGTTCTTATTAAATTAGAAACAATTATGTAGCTAGTCGGAAAAGATTACCTAAAATTTAGGTACATGGAGGGAAAAATTCAGGAAAAATTACGCGCCTGTTCCGTAATCTGTCAGTTAAAATAGTATTCAGTAAAAAATTACGGAACAGTTACGGGGTTTTTCACTGAACTTTCAACAAAAAGTACGGAAGATTCAGTCCAAAAGTGCGTAATTATTCCGTCATTTTTACTGAATACTGTTTTGACTGGCAGATTGCGGGACAAGCACATAATTTTTATTGAGTTTTCTATCCGTGTTCCTTTCTTTGAATTCTCGGATAACTTTTACTACACGGAGAGAAAAATCTATTAATTTTTATATTGTGATTCCGATAAAAATTACTGTGCTGCCTTACAATCTAGGTGTAAATTGCAGGCCTGAAAAAAATTACTATGCCATGCAGTAACATTTCTTCGTCGGCCGAGCAAAACTTCGTTATCGGCCAAATAAAAATTCATAGTCGTCGCAACAGTTACCATTGTTAAATTCAACTTCGGCAAGAATCGGAAACATTCGACGTTCATCGCTAACCAATCATATTGGGTTAAAAAATGTTTGGAGAAAATGCTGTGTAGCACAGTAAAAATTAAAAGAGAGCACAATAAAAAATACCGATCTGGATAGGAATTTTTGAAGGATTTCTATCAATTTTTCTTTCAAACTCAAACAAAAAATGATAGACCTTCAAATTTTATAGTGCTGTTTAGTAAATTTTATGGAGCCACACATGATTAATTACGGAATGTATAAGAAAATTTGACATATTGATGGTAATTTTTATTTGTGAATGAAAGAAGTTCTAGTATTCTAGCATTTTGCACCACGATTGTAGTACTCGGCACAGTAATTTTTTTTGGCCATTTCTCTCCGTGTAAGCAGTTAACAGATTTTACTAAGCCGGCAATTTTCCCTGAATGGCGAAAGCATAACACAGTTATACCGAACACATAATTTTTAGTGACTTTTTCTCGCCGTATACTTGAATGTTCTTACAATCTCATTTCCTGCATACAATTATCGGAATGAATTTCAGATGTAAATTACCTCCGGAGGATAGATTTTTCACAATGCATTGCACAAATTGGTCCTACGGTTGGAAAGTTAAAAATTTCCAGAGTTTTTCTTCCAAGGAATACAATCGCAAACCCCTGATACGCACAAGTTTTTACAGGAATAATCTATCCAGTGTTAAAAATGATGAGAGACCATGTTCGAAGAAAGGGCTTGCCACGTTAGCAAGAAATTTCCAAGAAATCCAAGAATATTGAGTAATCAATATAAATACAAGGCTGATAAACAATTGAAAATCGATGGAAATGTCGGTTTGTTAAATTTTGGTGTTGACGATGAAAAATTTAAAAGTTCCACGATGGTACCAGGATCTTTCAATTCCTCAGGTAATGCGCATAAAATGAGTATGACATTTGTATTTATAATTTAAACAGATCATTTTCAAATTACTGATTTAATACATTCCATTATTTTTGTTATTAGATGGAGATAATTTTTGCCCTAGCAAAATTGGTGAGACGTGACCATGAAGAAAATATTACAGATAGAACTGAAAAAGCCCTGAGGGATATCGGAATAACATCGACATTTGTGAAAGTCACACAAAAAGACATCCGAAATCTTTGGACAGATATTGATTTAGATTCTGTTAAAATTCTTTGTGAAATCTATCGATCTATCACAGGCAGTCTCTTTGAGGAACAAACATACAGTTCAGTATCAGTCATGACATAGTACATCGAATATACGATAATAAGGAAACACACACTTCACTCAGCAAGTTATTTCCATTTTTAGAGAAATTTTATGACTGCAGTGAGAGAATCGTGTTGTCGGCAATTGCATTCTTGACGCTTCCAGAAACGATAATCGAACTTGATCGTCGTTTGCCCATGGGAAAAATTCATATAATTCCACCGAAAGGTGAGTTATCTATTTTGCTCGGTACATCGAATGACCAATAATTTTTGATGAGGAACTTGCCAAATTTTGATTCAAAAGAGTATATCTCAATATACTTGAATCACATCAGTCCGAAAGCTTAAGTCAGAGGTACCCAACCTCAGCTCTCGGAGCTACTCTAGTTCCCGCTCTTCATTAGGCAAAATTGTCCTAAGCCATAAAGTTTATGGTTGCCCCCCCTTCGGGCCCATGATGCCCTGGGCATAGGCAAGAGTAGTAGGGATATTCGACAGAAACTTGGTGGTAGGAAAAGTGAAAGAGAAAAATTTCCTATTTCTCGAATGGAAATATTTCTTCAATTATTGCTTTTTTTTGTTGTTATGCTTTTGATTGGTTGTTGGTTGCTTGTAATCGACTTCATCTAAAAAAATTCCGTACCTGTCATACATTTCTTGAAGTGGAAATATTGTTTGGAAAACAGTTATTAAATATTATCATGTTATTAATAGCCCTGACATGACATTCATTTTCAAATTTTTCATTTCTATATTTCCCGCTCTCAATGCCAAATGAAAATTCACAAATTTCTCAAAATCAAAAAAATTATCTGCATCCTTCGATCTTCGATTAAATTTTTCTTTCTCAAGTTCATGAGCATCCCACTCTCATTTCCACCGATGAATATCGAATCTAGCATAAATACTGAAAAATAATGCGCATACCTAGAGCAAAGATCCATGGTAGAGACACCTATATGAAAATCCACGACTAGTAACAATTATGCAGGGTACATTACTACATTAGAGTTATACTAGTTATACTAGTAATAGTATGATTCGTATATGCTGTGGTACACTGAGAAAAAAATTTTCTTTAGCCAAGAATATTTACTAACCACAAGAAAATATATTTGGCATTAGTAAGTCTTATGGGAGTATTTACACAGTGATCTCCAGATTTACTAGTAGGAAGAAAATATTCTTGACAAAAATAATTTTTTTTCTCAGTGTAATGGTCATGATGGGACATGGCAAGATTCAATGGTAACGGACTCCAGACTCTGCGGTCTCACGGCCATTGACGTAGTAAATGGTCATCGTAACACAGTAAAGGGCCCTAGAGTTAGCTGGTAAAATTTACCATAGGTGCACCGGAAAAATTACCATGCTACATAGTAATAACCGTTATAGGATATAATAAACGTTAAAAGTTCCTTGACAATTTATAAAAATAATGGAACGCTACAGAGACAAAAAATAATGGTAAATATATAGTTTAGGTTCACTAAACCATTCTGGATGTTGTGTATCTATTTAAATAATACATTTAATAATCCTATGTAAAATGGAGATGGATATTCATATTGAATCGCAGCGAAACGCTCGAGTTGAATCCTAAAATCAGTCACACTGATTCTTCACTGATCATCCATTGGCCATGACTTATACTCATTTCCACTCATACTTCATATTCCATTGGCGAGCATGTACTGAACTGTACACCAAATTTTCTTTTACTGGCGCGTATGTACTGTTCTGTACATGAAATTTCTCATGGAGCATATATATAGCGTCCATTATCTGAATTTACTTTAAGACAAGATTTAGCCAAACTTGTAATGCCTCAAAAGTCCAGAGTCTGACTGATTTATTAGTAATAATAACCAGGAAATGTGATATGATTGTGTTATGTTTACACATTCTACACGGAGAGAAAAGTCCAAGAAAAATTACTGTGCCGAGCACTACAATCGTGGTGCAAAATGCTAGAATACTAGAACTTCTTTCATTCACAAATAAAAGTTACTATCAATATGTCAAATTTTCTTATGCATTCCGTAATTAATCATGTGTGGCTTCATAAAATTTACTAAACAGCACGATGAAATTTGAAGGTCTATCATTTTTTGTTTGAGTTTGAAAGAAAAATTGATAGAAATCCTTCAAAAATTCCTATCCAGATCGGTATTTTTTATTGTGCTCTCTTTTAATTTTTACTGTGCTGCACAGCATTTTCTCCCAACATTTTTTAACCCAATATGATTGGTTAGCGATGAACGTCGAATGTTTCTGATTCTTGCCGAAGTTGAATTTAACAATGGTAACCGTTGCGACGACTATGAATTTTTATTTGGCCGATAACGAAGTTTTGCTCGGCCGATGAAGAAATGTTACTGCATGGCATAGTAATTTTTCTCAGGCCTGCAGTTTACACCTAGATTGTAAGGCAGCACAGTAATTTTTATCGGAATCACAATATAGAAATTCATAGATTTTTCTCTCCGTGTATCTCATTTATGTGGAAACATGGGAAGCGAATTCCTTGGCCCCACCACGCGTTCAAGTCGAGCATTACTTCTGCGAACAGAGGGGAGTAGCGGTGCTGATATTTTTGTTCTTTCAACAATCAGCCTTTAGTTATAATAAATAGTTGTTATAAAAAATTTTCTTTCACTCGTATACCCTTTCGGGTTTTTACGATTTGTTCCCTTCCCACCCCCCAACCCCCTGTACCGCATTTGCTGAAAGGGAGGGAAAACCTCATCTGAGGGAAAAACCTGCCCTGGTACAGTCGTCCTTTTGACAGGACTACCGCTCGGCAGTGAAACCGTGAGATCAGAGCGCTATATATTTTTGACCGCCGGTGCCCGGGATCGAACCCGGATCCTTGGCATGCTAGTCCAGCACTCTAACCGCACGGTCACTACCATCGGTAAATAGTTGTTATAATACATTTTATATAATTTTGTTTGCGTATTTTTCCTATAAAAATTTTCTTTATGTATCATAGCCCACAGACGCGTGTTGGCCAATATGGCACTTCGACAAAAGCTTCATAGTTAACCTGGGGGAGGGGGATGCTATACAAAAAGGGGCTGACAGGGCATAGAGTTGATGGCGGAAATCGCCGCTCACAATCGGCTAGAAGTGGCATGGATTCCAAGCCACGCTGGCATCACTGGCAACATGCAGGTAGATGAGCTAGCAAGAAAGGGATGTCGGAGTGTTCCGCCGGAGGCGCGTGACTATGTAGGCCCACATACATGGAAAGTTGAAAATTCACGCTCGATCCGATGGTCGCTTTCTGCCAGTATCGGTCGAACCAAGGTTCAAGAAGGGGGAAAAGCGAATTAGAGCAGGTAGCTTTGTGAAATGGATGATGCCTCTCTCCCAGCTCTCACAAACGAAACTCGGGAGTTGCGTGAGCCCGATGCGCCCAGATTGCGTGGTCCTGGTCTAGATAGACTATTATCCTCACCCCTCACGAGCGAAGGATCTCCGCGAGTCAATTTATGACAGAGCTTCTCATTAACTCTAAGTGCGTCAAACTCTGGTGAAGCTAAAACTCTAGGGCAAATTCCACTAGGGGGAACCGAAGTACTGAAGTTGTTGGAGGGATTGCATATGTCATTCGACATCCTTCGTTCTGCGGGTGATCTTTTATTCGTGAACTATAGTAGAAGTGGGGCCCAAGTTGATCTGATGAGGCACTGCATCTATCAGAGACTTACTCAGAAAGTCACCGGGGGCGGGTTCGGAAAGTCCTCAAACTGTAACTTCCTGAATCTCCACCAGTATCCTCAGTTGATTCTGAAAGATTAAAGTTCTCTGACTTGCCTACGTCATCATATCCTCTGTGGCTCGGCGTCTTCTCTTCGGTTTCGGGGAATATTCTCCGCTCTGCTGACGTCGCTCGCTCCCCCCCCCCGGCTCTTCGTTTTCGATGGTGGAAACTTGGGACGAATTTGCGAAATCCCTAGCCATTTTTAACGACCGACTATCGATATCCCACCGAATTTACTGAATCGTTTCACCCACACTGGCGCGTGAACTCAACGCTATGCAGTCAGAGACAAACGCATTCTTGCCTACTGGTGACCACTTATTCGCGAATCTCCTTCGGATGATCGGCATCTCAGGGGGAAACCAGGACAATGGGAGCAATACCTTGTCTCATGAGTTTTTACTTTTTTCAATTTTTAATTCGCTTCTATTACATCTGGCATCCTCAACTTTGCGAATGTTTGTGATCTTCGGAATGCTACTATGTGGACAATCTGGGAAAAGTTACAGGCAGGATCAGCAAGAAGCGAAGACTCTTCTCGGACGATAGCCTTCTCCAGATTGTGACTTAGGGAAAGAGGACACGGATATGTTCATTCCAGCTGAAATGAGGGATACTGATGTATCTATGTGGCTCGGTACTTGGACATGGCAAGCAATGCACAATGACAGCCATGGGAGTATTGGGCACAGTGCCTCCCCGAGTGTCAATGTAGACTGATGATACAATAAGAGCTACCCATCCTAAATAAATTCCTCCAAGTGCTCTTCAGTTAAAATACATTATGCCACTATATGGTGGATTCCACGGTCTCAGAGGTGCACTAGCAGAGCTATTCAAGCTCTTAATGAAAGTCTGTATTTTTACATACCTGATAGAGACGAGAACAACAGCTCCTCATGATTCTCAACTCAGCAGCTCATGGTGTTGTTTGTGCTCTTCATCTGCTCGGTGCGATTGACATTTTCTATGTTGTTCGATGAAAAGAGTGTCTATCATCCCATGCTCCAGAAGTGCAACTAGGAGGGTAGAGTGGATTCATCTCTACTTTTCGTTACGCCTTGTTAGGCGGTGGACAGTTTTCGTTGTCAGATTAGGAACATGCAAGCGTACCTGACATGGAGAGTTCCTTGAGCCTGGCTGATCCTTTTGGAGAAGATAGTAAACTTCGAAGCTATCCTGGATTCTTCTCACATTGGATTATTCAAGTGCGTAGGTGTCTATAAGCCTGTCCAAGTCAGATTCAATAAAGTGTCTCCAAAACATCCACAAGAAGACGTTTGTTGCTGTATTGCTCATGTGGGAAAAGGACCCCTCAAGAATTATAGAGCTAGGCTTCATTCTATCAATATTGAGATACATCCGCAGATGAGAGAAATTCATCAAAAACAGGACTGAGTAGAAGGAACCAGAGGAGTAAGCCCCGTGGATGAGCAGAAGCGCAACAGTAGCAATTA